GGGGGGGGGGGGGGGGGCAAGGGGGAGAGTCAACGAGAAACCCGACGAGTGAGTGCCTTGTCGAGATGGCGGAACCCCTGGTTGCACGGGAAGGTCGTGGAAAATCCCAAGCACAACATCGACGCGTCTCATGGCGGAAAGCAGAGACAAAAGGCCTAGACTTTTATTCCTGCTGCTCAAATAGAACCAGGATTCCTGCTCTTCAGATAGAAGCAGGCTTACTGCTGCAAAAATAGAAGCAAGAGGGAAATGGTCCACTGTTCGCTTCTGTGAGACCAGTTCATCTGCATCTACACAGGCAACTGCGTGAGGGTAAAACCCCGCCCAAGCCGTGTGTTGTTTTTTCCAGACTAGCCATTGGTGTGGGTGGCCACTGCGTGGGTGTCGTGGCGAAACTTTATTTACACATCTTCGACCTCCGAACAATCGAAAGGGAAAATCTGCAGCGGGTGCCGCCATGTTGGAAATGCGAAATGTGCTGGGCATAATGTCAAGTCCGGACAGTACTTACTGACGAATCGCATGCACTTGAGTTGAAACTCGCTTGTCAAAAGTTCAAGATGGTTCAAGTGCCCCAAAGCTCTTCGCTGATGCAAGCGACGGTTAGGCCGCAGGGCGAAGCACGGAGGGTACTGCAAAGCAGATCGAGTGTGACCCAGGTCTACATTTCGTCAACACAGAGCACCACGTCAACCAGGGACTATCCAACGTACAAATAACGAAAGGGAGGTCTCGTGTGGCCTCGAGTGGGTTTCACGTTTACAAGAGGAGGCGGCACACGGATTTATTGGCTACATACAGGGGTCGAGGAGCGGGCGATGGCAGAATGGGTTAAATAACAACACAGCCTCAGTGCAGTAGTTGGTTATCTCTTTGCGGCGGAAAAAACGCAACCACCGGGGCGACGTGGGTTGCCGTCTTGAGCAAAGGAGAACCATATTGGCATCGCAGGAAAAAACAGATGGAAACGGCTCAACGAACTCGTGGATGACAATCATACCTGATAATAGCATCTCTGACGTCCGCCGCGGGCGCCAGCGTCTTGAGCGCATCGAGCGTGGACAGAAGGTCCGTGTCCTCGCGATCTCCGTAGAAGCTGGAGATGTGCACGCCGTTCTCCAGATGGTATCGAATAGCGTCCAGAGAATTGTCCACCATAATGACCTGATCGAATCGAACCGCGTATGTATGCACTTCTCGTGTTGAAAAATAGCGATGTACAGACAAGTTTTGCAAGTGCGACTCTACATGGGAGCCCTTCGACAAGACATGGAAGGTCGGGCAGTTAGCAAAGGCTGAGCGACGCCTCGGGATGACATATATTACTATGCTGTGCGTGCACAACGAGTTGCAGGATTCCCGGCAATCAAGCGTAGGCGTAGCGAGTCTGCGATTCAAGGAAAAAACTTCGGTCGCAAAGCTCCACAACCATCTTAACCTTGCCGGTGTTTCATCGTTTAATAGGCCGGATCTGAACCGGAGTTGCACACAAAGGCTTCGCGTTCAGCCGAAGACTTTGTCCGGAAAGATCGACAGCAATGGCACTCTCACAGGAAACGTGTTTTGATGCTTGATGCGGCAACTGCTACAAGTGCTTACTTCTGGAGTAACCCATGCTGAATCGTATGCACTAGGGTAAGGTGGCCGCCCGCCGTAGGCGGCGGAACGGCCACCCGGATATACGCACGAAGAAGGCCAATGAATGATTTGTGGATGTGAAGCGCGGGAAATAGAAAGGAGGATGCAGGTTATGTCTATTAAAGGAGGATGTGTCAATGATGATACATCCCGCGGCTTTGGTCACGACTGCAATTGAAACGCAGTGACATATGAGTGGCGATGAATGTGTAATCCTCATCAATTAATGAAAAGATCATTGGAAAGTATG